CTCCCCTCCTCTCCCTTCCTCTCCCCTCCCAACACCAACACTGCCAGCGCCTCTCCTCACTGCAAAAGACGGCTTAAAATGATTGTAATATTTTTGTGATTTTCTTCCTTGCTTCCTCCCTTTTCCTTGTTCGCTCTCTCGTCGTGTTCGCCGTCCTCCTCAGCCGCTCGCCTTGTTCGTCCTGCCCTCACCCCAGCTCGCTGGAAAATGTGACTGTTGCGCTCTGACGTCAGCGAAATGCGAGATGATGCGGCGCGGCGCCGCAACAATAAAACAAAATATGACGCTGCGGACGCGGTGCAGCCGGCGGCCCAGCAGCGGTCAGCAGCTGCAGTCTGCCCCTCGGTCTGCAGTTCCCCTTCCCCCGGCATCCGAGGCCTACGGGCGGTGGGGCAGGTGGGGCAGCGCGGGCGCCCGCTGGCGCCAGGGTAGGCCGTCCCGCCGCGCTCGGCTGCACCGCGGGCCGGCCCGCCCCGCCCCCGACACCGACCCTGCCCCCCCGGACCGGACGGAATGGTGCGACTGCGGGCGTGGCCACGGCTCATCGGTGTGGTCAGATAAGAACGCGGGACTCCCCCGAGAGAGAAAGACGAAGAGAGAGAGAGAGAGAGAGAGAGGGTCGTGTGTTGCTCAAGTTTACGGCTCGTGCAGTAAAAGTTGGGGCACGCCAGAACTAGGGGCAGGGCGGCCGGGGGGCGCCCCCATAGTGCACAGCCGTTGTGCGTCCGTGACCGCGCCTCCAACCCACGCTTCCACTCTAGAGTGCTTTTTTGCGGGGACGCGCCGAGGGACGCGCGCGTGGGTGCGCCATCTGCCTTTATACTCCACCTGCCCCCCCCCCTCTTCATTTTTATTTATTATTTTCCTCTCTCTCTCTCTCTCCTTGTCTCCCTCTCCTTCCCTTTGTCTCTCCCTCAAGCCGCTTTGGATTCCGCACCCTCCACGGCGGATGAGCTGCCGATGTGCCGGTGCCGCGCCGAGGCGGGCCCACGCGCCCCCCAGCCGCCCCGGGAGCCCAACGCCCAACCGCACAAAACGGCCCGGGGGACCAGGAGGCAGGCAGCAGGCAGCAGGCAGGGCCTAGCGCGGGGATGCCGGCCCGGGACGGGACGGGACATACCCATAAATTTACGCCGACCTTTTCAGGAGGCGGCGAAATGAGTTTCCTCCCCTCGGCTTTCGCGGCTCTGCTAGGCCGCCCGCCCCCCTGCACGACGGCGCGCGGGGGTGGCAGGGGTTGCGGGGGCGGCGACGGAGCGGGCCACCGTAAAGCAGCGTCCGCTGCGAATAAGGACCTCGTGGAGCTAAGCCGAGGGCCGCGGGGGCGGGGGCGGGGGGCGATGCTATGCCTCGAGCGCTGCTGCTCCTCTGCTCCTCCCGGCCTCGGCAGCCCCTCGGGGGCGTCTCCGGTTACACCGCCCCATTAGGCGGGCCGCTACGCTTCATGTCACGCCCCCGCCGGCCCCGCCTCCCCCCCATCAGCCTGTCGATACTCCGCGCATCGAGTCAAAGATGCAGTGCGAATGAAGCGGAGCGCGAGGGAGGCGAGAAACGCTCGCTCGCTCGGCAAGGTCAAGGCAAGGAGGCGAGGCGCCCGGCCGCGGCGCGCTGGCCGATCGGCGCGCTGCCGCGTATCGAGACGGCCGGCCCGCGAAACAACTACTACTGCAGAAAGAGAAGGAGGAGGAGGAGGGGGCGATTGTGGAGAACGGGGGAAGGAGGGGGAGGAGGAGGAGCAACACAACAACATTGGCCGCGGCAGCATCTCCCCGGTGGTCCGCGGGGCCGCGTCTCCATTCCGATCGCGGTTTGCGCGCGTGCTGCCCGCGCCGTGTGCTGTGCCGCGTCATGTCCTGCAGTGTCTGTCCGAACGCGCGCCGTCGTCATCCTCGTCGTTGAGCCCGTCCGCGTGGCGTTACACGTCAAGATGCGCACGCCGCTCACCGCAGCGAGCGTGCTGCCGCTGCTTTTGCTGCTGCTTTACGCCGGACCCACAGCGTCGTACAGAGGTAGGAGGTGTTGGGTAGTGTGGAGTGGTACGGGAACAAAAAGCCATTAATGTTTGATCGTCACGCCACATAGCTAAAATTTCGAAGTAGGAGAAGAGTATCCAGAAAACAAAAGCAACCGAAAAATAGTCGTGTTTCCCCCTAGTGTCAGACAGTCAGAAATGTTGGTGCCTCTCATGCTCTCGGTTGGCACTGTATTGCGAGTGAATTTTTCTTTTTCGTTTACGATTTCTTCTTCTCCATCCGCGACGCACCCGCGTCGGTAAAATAAATTGTTCGGGCCTCACTTTGGCGGCAAGTTATTATTTATCGCCATTACTCACCTCCCGAATGGTCCCCGCGCACGCAGCAAACGACGACGACCGGCACAGGCTCGGGTCGGGCTGCCCTCACGCCTCCCCCCCTCCCCCCTCCCGCGGGGATTGCCTACCACGAGTCCAACCATCGTGACTTTACTAACTGCTGCGGCTGGGCATAGCCCGGGCTATCCGCCGAGCTGTTCATCGGAATGAATGGCTCCCCCC